ACTCGGCCCGGTGCTCCGCGCCGCCCGCCTCGCGGCCGCACAGCACGCCCCGCAGCTTGTCCGCGCTCGAGCCGGCCGTGTCCCCGCCGCTGGCCCCGCTCCCCTTCGGGCGCTGCCTGGACCGTCGGCTCGCCATGGCCAGCGAGGGCGACATGGAAGAAGTCTGCGCCCTACGAAGCCGGCGAGCGCGAAGACATGGCTTTGGCTGGCGACGGTGTCCGCCGAGGGACAAAAGACCTTGACATGCGCAGACCAGGCGAATGGATTGCGTTACGGGGTCAATGGGGGCAGAGCCCAAGCAAAGAAGGAGTGGAACTTTGGACGTTACTTTCGCCATCGTAGCTAGCCGCTTCTCACATGCTTGTACCTCTGGTCAGTCCTCCCTTTCTCAAACTTTCTGTTCCTTCATTTTCCCGCCTCCACTACAAAAACTGTCCTTCAGCTAATCAATTTAAAAGACAACAGAAAGCAATTGAGCAACTCACTAGTGAGGGACTCCATTAAAGAGCATGACCCTGCTTCATATCAAAAGACGGGGTCCCTTAAAGCTCACTTGAACACCAACCAGCCCCTTTCTGTGGTTTGGTCATTGATTGCTCTTCAGAAGGTGAAAGGGCAAAGGCCGGTTGATTCTAGAATGAGAAGAAAAGCGAGATGGAGGACAGTTGTGTTCTGTGGAGCAGAGTCAACCAGACAACAACACCTACTGTCGTTGCAACTGCAGCATGGTAGTTGGCATTTTGCACAATGTATCTTCTTTAAATGTGAGACTCTCAGCCACCTTATTTGATCCATAAGGAAACTGAGGCCCCAGGAGACGGACATAGCTAGTAAATGGTGGAGACATATTCCAACCAGGTCTGCTTCACTCTTAACACGAAGTAGCTTGCTTAGATTTTCACACAGGTTAAGTTGATGATATCACACCTGTGATGATGGGATACTCACCCCCCATCCTCCCACCGCCGCTTCCCAAACACAATTTCTACCACACCATGTGAGGTTCTGTAGCAGTAACTAAAAAGCAAGTTTATAGGGATGCTGAGCTTGATAGGGCCTTAGAAGGTTTATGATTTCATACCCCCAAAAAAATTATTCCCCATGTATTGAAAATGGAGATTGACCATATCACTCAATCCCTGTATCCAAGTGTGAATCATCCAGTTGAGACTTAACCACAGCTCATCCATCCAGCCATCCCTCTTCTCCCTCTTCATTTCACTGCAACACGGACCCTCCCTGCCTCTACAGAGCATCCTATGCAACATTTCCCAGTGCACGATGCTTTTGTGCTACCTCCTTAATAAAAATCACATTTTTTTTTCTGGCAAATAAAGCACAAACTCCTTGTTCTGGCATGCAGGCCCTTTAATAAACTAATGTTTCATTCTGTTGTCCAAGTGAGCCACAACCGACTCACGGCCAACATCTCTACTACTTTGTTGATGACAAAGAGTTAGGACCTTCTATTTGGAAGACACCTCAACATAAAGAAACAAACGGCCTCGCAACGGACCAACAAGCAGTATCATGATAAACGGGGAAAAATGATGAAGTTGTCAAGGATTTCATTCTACTTGGACCCACAATTCATACCGATGGAAGCAGCAGTCAAGACGTCAAATGGCATTGCATCTAGTAAATCGGCTGCAAAAGACCCCTTTAAAATGTGAAAAGCAAATCTATCCGTTTGAGAAGTTAAATGTGCCTGACCCAGGACGTGGTATTTTCCATCTCCTCATATGCATGTGAAACTGGACAGTGAGTAAGGAAGACCAACGAAAAAGTAATGCCTTTGGATTCTGGTGTTGGTGGAAAATATGAAATATACCACGGACTGCTAAAAGAGCAACAACAACAATCTACCCTGGAAGAAGTACAGCCAGAATGCTCCCTGGAAGTGAGAAGTACAGCCAGAATGGTGAGGCTTTGTCTCATGTACTTTGGATAGGTTATCAGCAGGGCCCAGTTTTTATAGAAGAACAGCATGCTTGGTACAGTATACTCTGTGCCATGGAGTCCATTTTGACTCATAGTGAGCCCAGAGCAGTGGTTCTCAACCTGTGGGTCGTGACCCTTTCACAGGGGTCGCCCAATTTATAACAGTAGCAAAATTACAGTTATGAAGTAGCAACAAAAATAATTTTATGATTGGGGGGGTCACCACACAGGAGGAACTGTATTAAAGGGTGTCAGCGTTAGGAAGGTTGCGAACCACTGCCCTAGAGAATAGAATAGAACTGCCCTGTGGTTTCTGAAGCTATCAGTCTGTTTTCAAGCCACTGGTAGGTTTGAGCTGCTGACCTGGCAGTTAGCAGCCCAATGTGCAATCCACTATACCACGAGAGCTCCTTTGGTAAAATAGAGAGTCTGTGGAAAAAAGGAAGATTCACATCAAGATAAACTGACAAGATAAACTAAAGTGGCTGCAACAATGGGCTCACACATAGCAATTCCTGTGAGGATGGCCACACCTGGGCAGTGTTTTGTTCTGTTGTACACAGTGTCGCTGTGAGTTGGAACCAACTTGATGGCATCTGACAACAGCAACTTTGCTGTACACACTTGACATTCCAATTAGCTAGATGACGCTTTGAAGAGTGCCCCAAGTGATCCTGCCTCTCTGCTCTGTAGGCCCTATGGGCCCTCTGCCTGCAATGCACGCCCCTTGCCCGACAATCCTTCCCCACTCTTGTTTTAAGACCCCACTCATCCGTGTATCAGAGATTGTTCAGGATGGAAGAAAAGTACAAATCGTATCACCTGCTCTCAATTAGCTTATAGACTCTGTACAGAGTTAAACAGTCCATAAGAGACTCCTGGACTCCGTACCTACTCCCAGACTTACACTTATGCCGGTTTCCCCATTACAGTCACTGACACTTCCGTTTTCTCAGGGGCTAAATTAAAAAATGTAAGCCCTGTTTAGTTAAAAAAACAAAAAAGTCCTACCTAACTCCTCTTTCTTTCACCCAACAGCACTCCCTTGTGCCTATATGTTTAATTAGTCAGCCACTCCCAATCCAACAACTTTTCACTACTGTGGTCCAGGTCACTATCATGTCTTCCTGTAATAACCTCCTAGTTTATCTCTTTGCTTCCACTCTTACCATCCCACGTGCTTTCTCCAAACACAAAAATGAATAAGACAAAGTCATTTCCTTCACAGCGTTTCCAATTTAATTCCAACCTGTAGACCCTAACTGTTAGTCAACCAGAGTATACATCACTTCATGGTAGCAGAGCCCTGGGCTACACCTATCTCCCAGTGTCCCTTAGAGATGTATATAGCAGAAGGTTCCTAAATTGAGGGGTGCAAAGCCTAGAGTTCATCACAGTTAAGACGTTAAAAAGACTAGGCAAGGAGAAGTAAGTAGCAGAAAGAAACTTGGCTTTAAAACTAGATGAACTCCAAGGGCCTTCCCTAAGCAGCCCAAGGCCCGGACAGCAGGTGGCCATCCTGCTCCTCTGGGCCCAGCGAGGCACTGGAAGGGTCCTGCCTTCCACGGTGCCACTCAGCAGCCTGGCACTTGGGAGTGTGACACAGAGGAGACATCTAGTTGACATCTCAGGTGAGTCTGGTTTTAAAACGGCCATGTCAGCGTAGGCTCTTTCCTGTCTGCTAGTCTCAGACACCCTGGAAGTAGGAGTGCTGGGTTCTTCAGCCAAGCAGAGGAAGGCTGTCTCTCCCGCCCAGGCCAGGCTGAGCTGGGCCTGCTGTGGAGAGGGCCCCTGCTGCCCTTCTCAATATCAGGTGGGCACTGCCCCCACCCACCCACCAAGGCCAGACAGAAGCCCTCAGAACCCAGACCTGCCCTCCTCCCCACATGGTGCTGAGGCGTCTGCTGACATGCTATTCAAGCAATCCTTGTTCCAGTGCTGGCATCTATGGAGGACCGTGCAGAAGGGCTATCTTTCTACCCACAGCAAAGCCTGGATTGAGAGGTGTGTGGTGCTCTGTTTTTAAGTACCTTAGGGTTCTGATTTGCAGAACTGGGCCTTGTAAATAACCACTATTGGAGCTGTCGCAGGAGGCTCCCTACCAAGAGGGCCCTGCAGTCCACTCTGCCCAGCACCTACTCTGGGGAGTGGGCACCCCCGGGAGTAAGCGAGCCCAAGTGCTGGGTCCCCTGACCTTGGGGAGGGCGGCCAAGCTGGCTGGCTCAGCTAGTGGCACTACGAAGCATGAAGGAGCTGATTTCATGCTCGTTATTGCCCAAAATAAAAAACTTTACAAAGACAAAAAAATTTAGATGGATTCAAGTGTGAATCCTAAATTTGACATGTATTTAGTTCATGATTTTAAATAACAAGCCCATGATTTTAAATAACAAGTCAGCCACAAAATAACAATGATGAGATTAAAAATAATAATACCAACACTAATTATAGAGCACTTACAATGTACCTAAGCTAATAAATGTTGGTCTGTTTGACTCAAAAAAACCACTCTGGTCATTTGATTTAGTAAAATGATCCACAGAGTTAATGTAAGAGGTATTGACAGTATGGCCAATATATGCAAAAAAATCTATGTGATAAGACACCCAAATTCTACTTCCTCTTCAGCAATAGCACAACTAAAGTACAAGATGCTGTTTTATTTTACTTGCTTGTATTTGGAGATACTACGTGGGACCCGTCACATTACAGTCTACAAGTTTAAGTGATAGAGTTACTTTAGAGTCAGCCAGCAATGGCAACAGCCACAGCAAAGGGCTTAAACCAAAACTTCCTAAAAGTTAAATATGTTCGCTCATCAAAAGACTTTATCCAAAGATTAAAAAGATAATTTTCAGACTGAGAATATCTTTTTCAAAATTATTTATCTTACAAGGGACTAATCTCTAGATTATAGAGAAAACTTTAAAAGATGAACAACAAAAATACAAACAAGCCGATAAAAAATGGGCAAAAGATATGAACAACAACTTCATAAAGAGGATAATCAGGTGGCCAACAATTACACACACACACACACACACACACACACACAAAGCTTGTGATCATTAGTCATTAGAGATGCAAATCAAAACTCCCATGAGAGACCATCTCACCATTGCAAAAATGGCACTGAACAAAACCAAAAAATAACAACTTCTAGTAAGGCTGAGGGGAGATTAGAAAACAGTGAGATTGCTATTGGAATTGTAAATTGTACAACCACTATAGACAATGGTATGATGCTTTCTCAAAAAGCTAGAAATGATAGTAGCATATGACCCAGCAATCCCACTACTAGTATTCAAGGACATGTGTGATAATGAAGGTTTTGTGTCAACCTGACTAGACCAGAATTCTCAGTGGTTTGGAAGTTAACACCTAGTAATCCCTCATGACCTAACACAATGTAATCAAAGCCAGTCAGGTGTAAGCCTCCATAATAGAATAAGATTAGGGTGGCATGCAACACCTTCACTGAGGTTGCAGCCCTAATTAAACATAATTAAAACATAGTTTCCTCAAGGGTGTGGCATCCTTGCAATATAAATATGCTGTGAAATGTCTTGCTTTCCATTTTTCTAGGTCTAGATTCTGCATCTGGCTCATCAACCTCTGGTTCTTCAGACTGGTCCCAATGGCCTTCCATACTGCCTGCCACTCCTGAGAGTCATCAGACACCTGCCATCTGACCTGCCGACTTTGGATTCATTGGACTCTACAGCCTGACCTACTGACCTTGGACCTAACCACCTCTCCAGCTGCCAGCCCATGGTCCTCCTGCCAGTCTTGGGTTCATCAGCCCAGCCCCCACAGTTTTCCAGTCAGCTTACCATCTCTAGCTTACCATCTGACCCACGGACTTGGAACCTGCCTGGGCTTGGACTCACCTGCTTCTACCACTGTGAGACAATTTCACATGAATTTATATTTGCTTCTAGAGAACCCAGTCTAAGACAAGAGGTATTTCTTTGAAATCATAGAAAACACTATCAAACAAATGTATCAAAATATGAAGCCATAATTTCTCAACATATCCTCATTCTGGTTCTATGTACTTCTAACAGCAATACGTTCGTCTCTCTACTCTTTCCCCCAAAGAATTCTGTAATTTTCAATAAACACATTAAAATCGCCATTTCAGCACCTCGAGAGACTAAAGTTTTGTTCCCTTTTAATGTTCTTTTGGTTAAAAATTGAGCTGTGTGAGTGAGTTCATTTCCCAAATTGAAGGATGACTAAGGGCCATAGTTTTTGTGTTTTTAAATCTTTTTATTGGGGGCTCATACAACTCTTATCACAATCCATACATATATCAATTGTGTAAAGCACATTGTACATTCGTTGCCCTCATCATTCTCAAAACATTTCCTCTCCACTTAAGCCCCTGGCATCAGCTCCTCATCTTCCCCCCTCCCTTCCTGCTCCCCCCTCTCTCATGAACCCTTGATAATTTATAAATTATTATTATTGTCATACCTTACACTGTACGATGTCTCCCTTCACCCACTTTTCTGTTGTCCGTCCCCCAGGGAGGAGGTTATATGTAGATCCCTGTAATCGGCTCCTTTCTACCCCACCCTTCTTCCACCCTCCCGGTATCGCCACTCTCAGCACTGGTCCCGAAAAGATCAACCCTGGATTCCTTGTGTTTCCAATTCCTATCTGTACCAGTGTACATCCTCTGGTCTAGCCAGAATTGTAAGGTAGAATTGGGATCATGATAGTTGGGGGGAGGAAGCATTTAAGAACTAGATGAAAGTTGTATGTTTCATCATTGCTACACTTCATCCTGACTGGCTCATCTCCTCACCAAGACCCTTCCATAAGGGGATGTCGTTATAAGGGCCATAGTCTTAGGAGTTCCACTAGTCTCTATCTGATTTTGAACTTTTCTCTCACTCTATCTAGGACCCATGATTGATGTTCCCCTGACCATTATTTCATTGGACTAATTGTTTCCATACATCTTTGATTTTTTCACTTTTTTCCCTCCAGATAGGGAGAGGTGGATAGTTGCACCTTAGAGGGCTGCTCAGGAGCTTTTAAGATCCAAGTTACTCCTTACTTAATAGGGATGTTGAGCATTATGGCAAAACCAGGTAGGCTGTAGAGCAGTCTTTGTGGACTACATTATGCCAGTTAACTTTGGTCAGTTCACCCCCCACCCTATTGTAGTCCTGAGCCCCCAGGCCTGCAACTCATTCCCTTAAGGTGTTTGATTATGTGTAAGAATCTTTCATAACTTTGCATCCTGTATGCTCCACATTTGTGGATATATTTGCAGCAAATGTCTCCATACTAAGCCTTGATCATCCTGTTTCCTTTGAGGAAATCTATCAAGATTAGCCCTTTGGAATCCCCCAAAAACCAGTCACCATAGCCTTCTAACCTGACCTCTCTACCTTGAATTTAACTGGCCAGCAGTTATCCTCAGAAAGTTTGATTGGACCTTTCTTCTGAAGGTTCCCTATAAGACAAAGACAAGTGTATTACTGAAAAACTTTCTGCAGCCATCCACTAATTGCAGAGACATGTTTAATTAAGCACATTGGAATAAAAACCTGTGCGTGGATGGACTGGAACCCTAATCCTGCTGGTTTTACGTACTGTGTGCACACTAGAGAAATAAGAGCAACGGCACCAATAGACATAGGTATACCCATGTTCACTGCAGCATCCACATGAACAAAAAGATAGAAATCAGTTACATGTCCACCAGCAGATGAATGGATAAACAAAGTGTGGCACGTACATAATGATGGCATACGATACGACAGTCAATAGTAATGAGTCCATGAAACACAAGATGAATGAGTCTGGAGGACGCTGTGCTAAGTGAAGTGAGTTCATCACAAAAGGGCAAATATTATATATCACTTTAATTTTAAGAAGTCAATCGGCTTATACACAGAAAGCAACGTTGTGGTCACCGAGGATCCGACGCGAAGGAGGACCACCTAAGAGAGGGGAAAACCAGATGAAATCCACTACCATTATCTTGGAGTCAAACCGGACGCACAGTGGCCCTCCGGAAGAATGTAGAGCTGCCTCCTAGGGTTTTCCAGTCGGTGAAGCTTTCTGGGAGCAGACGGTGACGGCTTCCCCTGTGGGGCTCGCAGCCAAGAGCTGTGACCACTGCATCACCAGCTCCTCGACCAGATCGTAGGCCCATGTTAATTCTTGTGAGGAGAAAGGCAATTCACAAAATGGGAAGTCAGCACGACATGACCAGGTACACGGAGGCACAGAGAGGTATATAAGGATAAAGGGCAACTACGGTGAATGCGATAGCAGGTGGAGGGGCTTCAAAAAGTTTGTGGGGAAATGGGATTAAAAGAGGATGAGATTTTCCCATCCTCTTTTGGAAGCCTCCTCAAACATGATTCTGCAATGATAATACCCGCTACAATGTTTCAAGTGGTTGCATCGGTTTGCAGTAGTTGTTGTATATATATATAGCTATAGTTGTGGGCCTTTGTATATGCTGCATCTACAGGGGGCTTCAAAAAGTGTTCTGGGGAAAATCTGTTATCTTTTAATTCCACTTTTGACATACTTCTTGAAGCCCCCTTGTATATCCATATCATCATAGAACATAATAGAAGTAATGGCGACTTTAGTCATATCCAAAACTCTCACAGATCTGAGTTAGTGGACTTGAAGGCTAAGTAGCATAGCCTCAGGTGACTGCTAGATCAACTGGCCCAGCATACCTTGTTTGGTGTTTGGGGTCTTAAAAGTTTGAGGTGTGTATAAATCATTGAATAGGAAACTAAGTGACTATGCAAGTTTTGACCTAAAACACAATAAAATGGTATAAAAAAAAAACTCAACTAAAAATAATCCAGAAAGGACTTTGGTTGAAGATTAGTCTCTTTCATCCACAACCACACCCAAGAAGTATCACACTGTAGAAATCAATACACTACACTACCGAGGTGTCACATGTAACCGTTGTTGAATTTTTTCCCTCAGTTGGGACTGCATTGATGCTGCTTGCTGTTGTGTGAGGGCCTTGTCACAAGTCTGGTAGGTCAATCTGTAGCACAGGCTGATCTGTTCAGTCTCTGGATGCTGAAAACGACTAAGGAGCTGTATGGAGATGACAGTGTCCTGGGACACCTCTCGGGCCACAGTATGGAACTCCAGTTCATCAAAGCCCTTCTGCTCATCTAACCAAAAACTAATATCGTGCACATAGCATGGCGGATACAGGGAATGGCTTTTGAAGGGTTCTATTTTCCCAGGGACAAAGTTCTTCAGGAAACGGTTATCAAAGGACCACAACATTCTCCAGTCAAAGATACTCCAGACCAGCATGGCTAGTAGGTCCAAGTTCATAGACACCAACACAATGCCTTGGTCTTTGCGTATGATGCTGGTAGCAGATGTGGTGACGGACCCAATAATCAGATTCTCGGCACCATCTGGAGCCAAATGATGAGACTTCACACTAATCAGATAATCTTCTTCATTTGGTTGAAGGAGAAATTCCACTGAGCTGCCCAACGCAGAGCCTTGCGGCAATGTCTGCGTCAGCAGGCCATCTAGAATACACTTCAGGTGATCAAGCAGTGACTGAAGAGAGCCATCCTTCTGAGTTTGATTAAGCCCAAGGATTAGTAAAGTCTCATGAAAGGCTGGCATCCTGAAAGGCAGAAGGAGGCATTTCCTAAAGACGGGTCCGCTGAGGATATGCAGAGAACCTGGGAGAAAGTCTGGGGCTTGGATGGCAGCTGGAACATGAACTAGGAGAGAAGGTCTAAGGCAGCCCTTGGCTTGACCATAGATTCTTCCACGAGTCCCTTCCTTACCTCGCTCAGGATCCCTGGGAAGGCTACGTTCAGCAAATGACAATAGAAGGTCCTCCAAGTGCTCTGTCATCCCATCAGTCAGGGGCTCAGCATGTGAGTGGTCCTCTAGGAGATTGACCCAAAAAGCAGCTGAGAAACCATCACTTTTCCAGAAAGTGAGAGCACTGGTGCCTTCTGGTGGCAGCAAAGGGATGGGACACTTCAGCCTTTTTACAGGGAAAGCTTTGCTCAATTCAGCAATGAGTTTCTCATTTATGGTTTTGATAGGATGACATGAAGGTGCTTCCAGAAGACCCCTGTTTAAACACACACACACCAAAAAAAAACCCTTAAAATAATAAACAATTATGGCATAGCTAGAATTAAAAACACAAATAGCTGTAAAGAAAAGAATTATTCCTAAGTTGATTCTAGAAGGAAACAAATCATCTACCATTAAAAGATAGATCATGTGTTTTAGAATTCTGACAGCAACTGTGCCACACACCCAAAAAGGGTAGGTTCTCATTCTAAAGAGGCTTGAGAAGACCAGACCAAAACGCATTCCCAGCACCAGCATCAACCGTTTGTAGCATCTATTCACTATGTACTAGGAAACAAACTCACGGCCACCAATCAATTCTGACGCATCGTGACCCTATGTAGGGTTTCCGAGACTGCAAATCTGGATGGGAGCAGCTTTCTCCCAAGGAGCAGCTACTGAGTTTGAACCACTGGCCTTGCGGTTAGCAGTCCAACGCCTAACCCACAGCACCCCCAGGGCCCCTGAGTCATTCAATCCAATCAAGATAGAGCTTGCCAGGGGTTCTACTTCCAATCAAATAACAGGTTACCTGTTCAACTTTCCTACAAGGGCTTCTGGTTCTGGAAATGAAAACCGGTGGTCACCCAGTCTGATTCTGATGATTCTGGGTTGGAGACATTCAAAGGGCAAGCTCCGGGTGAAGATATGGTTCAAAGCACCTTCAACATGAAAAGTCTTATCTTGACTCCTGGTAAAATACACACATCAAGTACAAAGCCTGTGAAGTACTAAAGAAAGCAAGTATGTCTGGAGAATGAATCAAGAAATTGGCAGTAGGAGTTTGGGGTTGTCACAACTGTACAGCAGGGGTGTTAATGGCATCTTGTGGGTAGACCTCAGTGGTGCTGCTAAATCACCTTCAAAAAATCGGCAGGAGAAAAGGGTTTTTTTTGCCAATGTGGACAGATAAAGAGTTTTGATGTTTAATCATTCGTGACAGAGATGAAAGAGAAGGGGTTGGGCCTATGCACCTACTTACCTATATCCAGTGCACTTGTACCCTGGCACAGCCTCACAGCTGAAAGGGTGCACACCACTTAAAATCAGCCCGCCCAGAGCTGCCATGGCAGTCACTTGCCAACTGTTGTGCCATTCTCTCCTGGGCTTGTCAGCAGGAGTCCCACCTTGTCCTCTGCATAGTGCCACGTGTACTTCTCCTGCCTCTGCAAGCACCTCTGTGCAACTAGGGGGTGGTGAGGGACAGAAGAGAAACCCCAATCATTTGTGAAAAGCAGGTAGAAATTACATAGGAATTAGCAGCATACACATAGTTTGGCTACAAAGTCTAGACTTCAAATAATTAAAATCCAACTACACATATTTACCGTGGTCTATTTGATTTCAGAAGGTGCCCTGGTGGTGTAGTGGGTTACACATTGGACTGCTAACCACAAGGTGTGAAGCTTGAAACCACCAGCTGATTGATGGGAAAAAGAAGAGGCTTTCTGTTGCCGTAAAGATGTCCACCCTTGGAAACCCATAGAGCAGTGGTTCTCAACCTCCCTAATGCCTCGACCCTTTCCTACAGGTCCTCATGTGGTGGTGACCACCCCCAACCATAAAATTATTTTCGTTGTTACTTCATAACTGTCATTTTGCTACTGTTATGACTTGGACGACCCCTGTGAAAGGGTTATTTGACCGCCAAAGGGGTCACGACCCACAGGTTGAGAACCGCTGCCATAGAGGGTTGCTATGGGTTAGAATTGACTCAATGGCACAGAGCTTGTTTGGTTTGGTTGGGTTTTTTTTCCATTGGATTTCAAACATACAAAGAAAAGGTGTAAGTAAATAAGAAGGTAAAATCAATGTTCAACAATGCTAGAGGCTGACCTTTGGGTTGTTCAGCTTTAGATTTGTGTTGTTTTTATATGTGATAGGAATGTCAGTGTCCGCAAAAATCCTATACAAGATTCACGGCTTGTTACATTGTCTTCCCCATTTGAATGTTCATTTTGCTCCCCTCATATTAAAACAGTATGCTTCAAATACTAGTGTAAAATATTGTCTCTGTTTAGTTTCTTTACAGCTATAACCCAGTGATCTCCAAAAGAATCACTCTTTTTGCTGTAACAACGGGAGAAAGGATTGTTTCATGTCTACAATAATTTTATAAGATTGTTGTTGCCAGGTGCTGTATGAATTGGTTCCACCTTGCAGTGACCCTAAAACACGAGAGTTGAATACTGCCTGGTCTGGCTGCCCCCTCACAACTGCTACTGGGCTTGGGCCCATGATTACAGCCCCATTGTCAATCCATTTGGTTGAGGATCTTCCCTTTTCACTAGCCCTCCACTTGCCGCAGCATGATGTCCTTCTCCAGGGACTGATCCCTCTGGGTAACAACTCCACTTCGCAGTGGAGGAAACCAAAACGTGGAAGGATTAAGGAAATTGGCCTAAAATCCACGCGTGAATGGTGAGGCTGAGATTCAAATCTGGAGTGTTTGTTTGGTTCCTAAATCCATGCTCTTAGTCATTACAACGGAGTGCCTTTCCTAGTGGGTCTCCCTTTACATGCTCAAGAGCTCATAATCAGTACTTTTATTTAGCATTGAGGATAATATGTATATGTCTGCTTGCCAACTTGATTGTGGGTTCTCTGTGTTGTCTCTAAACCTATCATACTCTGCCATTGAGTTGATTATGACCTATAGTGACCGGTTCTCGACCTGTGGGGTCGCCCAATTCATAACAGTAGCAAAATTAGTTATGAAGTAGCAACGAAAATAATGTTATGGTCACCTCAATATGAGGAACTGTATTAAAGGGTCACGGCATTAGGAAGGTTGAGAACCACTGCCCAAGAGAGTAAATCCTTAAGGGCGCAGAGAATCTCGGCTTCGTCCATCAGACCTTGGGGTTAGCAGCCCAACGATTAGCCCATGGTGCCCACCAGGGCTCTTTAAACCTATGAGAATGACTTTAATAGGTCTGCCTTATTTCACTAGTTACAATGTTTACATGCGGTAACAACGTGGCTAGCATTTTTAATACATTATACGTTTGAGGGCTCTCTTTTTCCTCACCTCTGGAAAAACTTGGCGAGTAGTTCCCTATTCTTTGCCACTCCGGCTTTGCGTCCACAGTGGGGGAAATTGAAATAAATTCGGTCGAACTCCCTGTCGTGCAGTTCAAAGGCGTCAGCCAGCTGGGTGCAGTCCACGCCAAAACGTACCTCTGCACCTGGCGATGAGAACGTGGAGGAGCACGATAAGACAGAAGGATGTCCTAAGACCTGATACCAGAACAAAATCTTCCTAACCCGAACCACACACACCAGCCCCGGTCTAGGCACACGGCAGTCAGTCTTTCTGTCAGGATCCATAGGAGGACCACGAGCATGCGCCCACCCTTGCCCATGTGGAAGGCGGCCGGAACCGCGTGGGGCTTCGTCAAAGGGGCCGGGGTCGCTACCTCGCTCGCGGAGGCGCTGCAGATTCTCCGCGGCCACGGGATCGTGGGCCCCGGCGGCGGGGCTCTGGATGCAGGTGGCGATGAAACGAACGGTGCTCGGATCCCGAGTCTTGCTCAGAGCGGCGGCGAAGGAGAAATTCCCCTCCCCAACCAACAGGAGGCGCTGAGGGGCCATGCCTCCCGCGAGCTCCGCGCTCCGGTCCCCCGTGGCGCTCCTTTCTTGCGTCACTTCCTTCGCCGGCCTCTGCCCGCCTCCTCTTGGCTCGTCGCCGTTCGATGACGCACGCAAAGCGCCTGGTTTGCGGAAAGAACTTGTTACGAATCTCACGAGTAACAATAACCAGGAGCGCAAAAGAGAGGCATCTCACGCTCCTGTCCCCGCACTTCCTCAGTACCTCAGAGCCAAATTGGCTCTGAGCCCAGGGACGGCGCCGAGCGATCCGTTACACATGCATGAGGTCACAAGCAATCACGAGCGCCCGAGGGGAAGAAATGGGGCGTGGCCCTTGCGAAGGGGGAGTCGGTCTGTCGTTCCCGGCTTGTTCCTGTCCTAGAAGGTTCTGTAACAGCGTTCGTCTTGTCCGAAATGGCTCTGTCTCGCTCTGTCTGCACCCCGCAACTTCCCCAGGTGCTTCTGTCGCCTTCGTTCTATTCATCCAAGAAATACTGAGCGCTTATCCGCTCGGCCACTGTAAGGAACTTTGGGGAAATACGAGGCCACGCTGAGGATCTTGGATGAACGCAATTCAACCTATAATTTCACTGAATCTAGTTTTAGTGAAGGATCATGCAGCAAAAGAAGCAATTCTGACATAGTAGGATAAATTATGCGAAATAAGTCAAGGTGCTACGGTAGAAAGGGGGACCTTATCAAGTTTTATGTTGAAGTGGAAAGTTTACCTGGATGAAGTGAACCTGAGTTGAAAGCTAAGGGGGAGAGAAGGCACCTTATGTGGGTCAGGAGGAGGAGCTATGTATGAAATTAAATATATATCGAAGAGACAAAAGTCTTTGTGAAACAGCTTTGCTGGGAGAGTGGTAAACAGACAAGACAGGAGTTCGGGAGTGGTGAGATTACAAAGAGTCTGCTAAACCATTATAAAAACCTTGAACATATTCTCAGAACAATGGACAGCCACTGAGACTTTAAATGGTAGGGTGCCAGTTATGATTCCTTTTTAAAACTTCAGCTTCCCCTTAAGGAAACGACTGTGGCAGAATAAAGCTAATGACCAAGACACCAGCTAATGCGGCTGCTGTGCCAATCAGGAATGGGCCAATAGTGATCTGAAGGGGGAACTTGGCAGTGGGGATGGAAGGTACTGAACCAATTTAAGAATCATACTGGCCTAGTGATTTAATGGATAGAGGAAGCTGATGAAAAAGTCAGAGTTAAAGAGAAGCCCCAGGTTTCTGGTTTGGCCAGTGGAACGGATGGTGACGGATAGCCTTGAGACTGTGTGGGCTAGATCTCCAGTCTGAGTACTAAGCCTGGTGTACTTTGTGGGACAGCTCTGCTTTAGTCATCATGCTGCTTGGTGACATCAGCACATCTATCTTCACAAAGGCAGGTGGCATCAGAGCAGTTACCAGGGATGCCATCCTTTAAAACTGTGGTATTGGCTTTGTCCCTGCCTGTGGAAAGACACGTGGATTGTGGCTCCCCAATAATGGCCACAGGGAACCTGGGTGACCTATATTATTTCTTTGCCTGAAGAACTAGATAAACCAGGTTTAGCGACACTTCTTGATGAACATGGAACAGCTGGACACGGATCTCACTCACTCTCCTAGGAAACCTTCAACCTGCACAAGCTACTCAACATCTTATTTCTCTTCAGGGCAGGTACCACCTTGATCCTAAGCCAGGGAACCAGACCCTTCCCCCTGCCCCAGTAGGCTTTTGATATTTTACTGTGAAAAAAAGAAAAATCTGAAATTTGGACATTGATCATCTCATATGTACAAAACATGATTGTTTTGGAACAGGCAGAGGGCGTGGTTGCAATAGTAAAACACAGATCCTGCCCTTAGTGAGTCTGTAGTTCAATAGAGCAAATAATGCATGTATTTGGAGAATTCTAGCAGAAAGTTCTAAATATAGTCAATGATGGGAAGGCAAAGTTCCTTGTCAAGTAAACGGAGAGAAAACTTCAGAGTAGGTATCATAGAGAAAGTGGTGTTTGAGCTAGAAGGAAGGAAATAGCAGTTGTGTTGTATAATAATACACCTTTGTTTCTCTTTATTCTCAGGCTACAACAATACTCTCAGTCCCTAAATCCTTACATCTCAAAATCCCATGAACATTTAGCTTGTTCTCCATGTGGTTTGGGAGGTAAAAAGGCTTTCTTATGTCTTCTCAAGGGGACCATTTTACCTACACAGCTGTCTACTACTGATTGAGAGGATAGGTTAAAGTGTTCATGATCCAGAGCCACAACAAGTCACTTTCAAGGAAACCCTTGATCATTAGGAAAGTGTGATTATGGCTTCCATGGAATATAGAGCAGAGGATGGGAAAGGGAGGCCCTTTCAGCTCTCTTGTTTGTTCAGTAAGCTTCTTTTTCTTGCCTTTTCTCAGAGACAGGCCCTGGTGTGTTTCCTCACAAACCCACACTGTGGCAGCATCATTAATGCTGATGGCCATGGTGAAGTGTGGACAGATTGGAATGATGTGTCCAAGTTTTTCCAGTATGGATGGAGATGCACCACTAATGAGAATTCCTATTCAATCCGTACTCTGATGGGCAACTGGAACCAGGAAAGATATGACCTAAAGAATATTGTGCAGCCAAAACCCCTGCCTTCCCAGGTAATCAACTACTACCACCACTTGCTGCCTTTTGAGGATGTCATGCATGGGGAGAGATTTCAGTGTCTTCCTCTTGGGGAGGGGTCCCTTCTGGATCCCTGCTGACCATCTCCTCCTTAGATCTCTTTTTCTTGGGTTTGGGGAGAGCAGAGATAGCTGGGTCTTCGATCCAGTTTCCCGTGGAGCCTCCTGGGCCCTCGGCTTGTTCTTCTTTTGGGGCCTTTCCCCGTTGGTCTCCTGGCTGCCGACCTCACACTGCTCAGGAGCAGGGCTGCTTTCCTGAGACCCAAAGGCAAGTGCAGCCAGTCGCTTCTTTTCCTTTTTCAAGCGTTTCTTCTCCCGCTCCCCCAGCTTCCTAGTCATCTCCACAGCAGCCCCCTCCGCCAGAACCATTGCCTCCTTTCTCGCATCCAGATTCTTCCGAGGGGCCTCCCCAGTCTCGTAGAAGGAGAGCCGCCCCTCGACTTGCTCTCAAAGCTTTTCCCCAAATACACTGTGGACACCTCCGAGGAACAGTCGATCCCAGAGGCAATACTGCATTTGTTTGCCAGATATCCGGAGATGCGGCCTTTGTTCTTGGCAGCAACTCGGCCAGTGAAGGTGGAGTGGAAAATGAGTCTGTATTTAGGGGTGCTTCCCCTGGTCTTCAGGGCTCTGGAAGTTTGGTCCCTTTTGCTAGGCCCTGGGAATCACTCAGACACCAGGGCTGGCCCATCACTCCCACAGCAGAAGCCTGTATGGGTCAGGGGCCCTGGTCAGCCATCACTGTGGCAATCTCTCATTTTATCTCGTAGCAAAAGCAAGTCTACTAACCACTCTAGAGACAGGAATCTAATATTGCAATCTCTCAGGCTCTCAAGTTGCTGAAGTCATTGGAGGAGGGGAGCACTCTTTAGCTGGAATACCTACCCCTCTTTACTATTCAGTTGAATATTATAGTAGGGGACTTCAAAAAGTTCCCAGAAAATGGAATTAAACAATTATGAATATTTTCCACAAACTTTTTGAAGTTCCCAATATCATCTAACGGAATGGGTAATACTCTTTCTCTTGCTTCTCTTTAGACCTCATCTTTTTTATCTACAAAGACATAACTTATGGCCCAGGGTAGCTTCTCCCTCAGTCTTTTCTTATCCAGGCCTGTTATTTACCTGAGTCCTGCTCTTAAATATCTTCTATACACACAGAAATACAAAAGGTCCAGATTACTGACAGACAGACATCTAATCCATCTAAAATATGACAGATTCCATTAGAACTGTGTCATGATGTCCTTTATATTCTTAATTAGCAATACTACTAGATACTTAATCTATTATTTTTTCTTTTCAGTTTGGACACTATTTCGAAACAATATATGACACAAGCTATAACGACAAGATGCCTCTTTCAACCCAGAGTAGGTGGACTATTCTTTTACACTTTATACTCTCAAGACCTATCTTAGTGCTAGAAACATAGAAGCAGTTCAATGAAAAGTATGTCAAAGGAATGAATGAATGAATGAGAAACTTCTTTTTCAGTTTTGGCAGTTTTCACTCCCTACTCCCACAGAAATGAGTGATATCCGTTACTGAAGCTCCTTGTCATTGACTAATTCCACGTCTCATTCCTTCTCGTTCCCATCAGGATTTAACCAAGAGCCGCACTGGTTCCCAGGACATCAACCGGAACTGGATCCTCCCCAATACAAATGCACAGGAAAGTCCACGCACATGAATAGCTATTCAAAACCTCAACTCACGCATCATCTTGAGTGTGTATGGGATCCTAGTAATGACCAATTTCACGGTCCACGATTGTAAGAAAGAAAGGGAAGTTTTGTTTCTCCAGAATAGAGTGTAGAAAGGAGCAGGTTCTAAGCACAACTAAGACCTTAGCTTGTAGGGATACAATCTGGCTTTCTGAATAAAATATTCAGAAACTCTTCTCTGCCCCCGTTTATTGTTGTAACAAAGGTTTAAATGTTAAATTTTAGTTGATTTACTCTCAGTTCTCTATCAGGGGTTGTGCAGGAGGATCTAGAAAGAATGAGTCCTCTGAAATCTACAACCACTGTTCTTGTCTGCCTTCATCAGTAAATAAAAAGACAGCAGCAGTCACTATTAGGTAAGTTCTGTTTAACTAGCCGCTTTCTGGAGAACAAGCCACGGGCACATTGTGTACTTGGTCTGTGACACCAAGTTCTTTTGCTCGGTTATTAACTGATAGGTTGAAACTTCCAAGTCCACACACAGGCACTTCAGAAGAATGTCCTAGTGGTTTCCTTACAAAAAATTATATATTGAAAACCTTATGGAACCTTCTCAATAAATTGAAAAAGAAAAAAAAAAGCCTATCTATTCTAAAAAGAAAAGCCTGCAGAGCACAATAGGACTGATGCACACGGGCCGCCCCGAGCTGGAATCCGCAAGCATGCCTCGTCGTTTCCTAAACAGTCCTTCTCCAGTACCAAGATAAGAAAGGGACTATTTTTATCATTCTAAGGACATAAAAGTAGACAAAATAGTGTAATAAACTCCCATGTACCATAATTCAGTTTCCATCATTTGTAACCAATTTTACTTAACTGTCTTTTTATTTTAACTTCTTATTGTGAATTAGGTGGGGACTTGCATATCTTATAATCATTTTTTTGTATTCAACAACTCAATTCATGGGCTCCCAAACTTATTTCGTCTGCTGCCCCCTTTTCAGGAAAATAAAAAAATTACTCAACAACCTCCTTGGAAATTATAAACTTTGTACAATAGCCCATAATCCAGGATACAGTGTAGGTTTCTGCTTTTGCAGCCCACCCTGGAAAATTCCAGCACTCCCCAAAGGGGTTATTGCCCTCTTTGGTTAAACACGGGACTTAATTTATCAAATCTCCCAGTGGCTTACTCTGTCCCACCACCCCTGTTGTTTTTCATTTCTGTACATCTGTTGTAGAATATTATCTTCCCTTAATCCAAGTTAACTCCTGTCTACCCTCTAGCCTGTTATTTCCCTTCCCCTCCACCCCTAGAAGCCATCAAAGTCTGTTTCTTTGAGTATGAAAAACTTTATCTTTTCTTAAATATATATATATATATATAAAATAGTGGTCTCATACTCCGTCATTTTATGATTAACTTCACTCAGAAGTGAAGTTAATGTCCTCCAAATCCGTCTATGCGATGGGGTGTTTTATAGTTTCATCATTAGTCTTTAACGATGCTTAATAGTGACCAAAGTTTATCCAGTATTCCACTGATGGCACTTGGGTTGTTTCCACCTTCTTGCTGTTGTGACTAGTGCTGCAATGAACATAGGCCTGCTTCTATCTGCTTGTGCTGTATTTTTTATTTCTTTAAGGTATGTACCAAGTAATGCGATTGCTGGGTCATATGGTATTTCTACTCCCAGAAGGTACCATACTTCTTTCCACAGTGGTTGTACTATTTGACAGTGCCACCAATCTCTCCACAAGCTCTCCAGCAATTGTGATTTTTTGTTTTTTGTTTTTATTTTAACTTTACTATAAATGCCAAGGTGAGGTGGTATATCTCATCATTATTTTGATTTACATCTCTCGAATGGCTAGTGATCACGAACATTTCCTCATGTCTTTTGGCTGTCTAAATGTCTTCTTTGGTGAGCTGTCTGTTCATAACCTCTGCCCATTTTCTTAACAGTTTTATTGGCATATAATTCACATATCATACAATTCAGCAGTTCAGCCATATGGAGAAAGTTGTACAGTCATCACCACAATCAATTTTAGAACATGTTCTTCATTCTTGTATTCTGACCATTTTTAATTGTCTTTTTGACCAGTTGTCTTTTCTTGTAGAGGTGTTGAAATTTTCTATGGATTTTAGAGATTAATCCATTGTCTGATGTATCATTGCCCCAAATCTTTCCCAGTTTGTGTGTTCTGTTTACTCTTTTGATGTGCACACAGGGCTGATTTGTAGAAGGGTCCAGACCCCTATTTTGTCTTCTATTTGTTTGTGTATTTCATTGTTTGTTAGTGTGTTTATGTTATGTTTTTGCAGATCTTGTTTGTCCCTATATTCTCATTGATGAGCTTTATAGTTTAGGGTTTGCATTTAGGCCTTTAATCCATTTTGAGGTATAGTTCCTGTTTCATTTTTTCTGCAGATGGAAATTAATTTTACCAGCACCATTTGTTGAAAAGTCTACCTTAATCTCATTTAATGTATATCAGCTGTTTGTAAAAATTATTTTTCTATAGGTAGATGAATTGATTTTGGAGTTCTCTATTCTGTTTCATTGATGTCCATATCATTGTACCAGTACCAGGTTGTTTTGACTATGTGATTGTGTAGTAGGTTTCGAGATCCAGAAGTGAGAGGCCTTTTATTTTGTTCTTCTTTAGTAGTGCTTTGCTTATCCTGGGCCTCTTTCCTTTCCATATAAAGTTGCTGGTTGGTTTTTCCATTTCTTTAAGGAATAAGGCTGAGATCTGAATCAGAATTGAATTGTATTTATAGCATGCTTTGGGTAGTACCAACGTTTTCACAATGGTAAGTTTTCTTATCCATAGAGAAGGAACATTCTTCCATTTATAGGTCTCTCTTGTTTTCTTGTAGTAGTATTTTATAGTTTTCTTTGTACAAATATTTTATTCCTCTACTTACATTTATTCCTAAGTATTTAAACTTTTGGGTGACTTTTTTTGTTCCATAGCTTTCTTTGTCAGTAACAGAAATCCATTGGATATTTGTACATTTATCTTGTAACCAACCTACCATGTTGGAAAATCTTTCAATTATTTCCAACAATTTTCTGGTTAAGTTATTGGGATTTTCTATGTTTAGCTTCATATCATCTGCAAATAGAACATTTTATTTTTAATTTGCCAATTTGGATGTTTTGCTTTCTTTTTGTTGTCTAATAGCTCTGGGTAAGATTTCCAGCACAACAGTGAAGAGAAGGTGATAGGAGGCATCCTTATCTGCTTCCTGTTCTCAAGGGACTGCTTTCAGTTTAGCGGGTGCCTTTGTTATGTTGAGGAATCTTCCTTGTATTCCTGTTTGTTAAATGCATTTATCAGGCGTGGGTGTTGGATTTTGCCAAATGCCTTTTCTGTATCAAATGATATCATCATTGTATTAGTCTCGGTACTTTAGAGAAACAAATCCACAGCAACTCATGTATAAGAGAGTTTTAT